GAGCTGGGGGGTGGTGGTGGTGAGGCCGTGGGCCACCACAGGAGAGGGCAAGCACAGTTAATTCTCATTCCTCTTACCACAGACAGGGCCAAAATGTGGTCAGAGTCATCTTCCTCATCCACCTGACACGTGTAGGATTTGGTACTGGCAGTCAGCTCACCGCCTGGAACGGAGCAGCCGTTGCGCAGCCCCAGGCACCACGGGCAAAGGGTTCCCAGGGTGAGCCCCGGCCAGGCACGCACACGGCACCCCTCAAACGCTTCATTTTCTCATGCTCAGGGTCAGCCCCAGGCCAGGGCACCCTGGGCGCCAGGATAAAGCATCCCCAAGAACTACGCACCTGGCTCAGCACCATACAGGGGCAAAACCTGGCATCCCCAAGTTGGGCTGTCATGAAACAGTGCCCAGGGGCGCTCAAGGTCCCCGAGGGCAGGCAGGGCAAGGCTCATCCCCTCCAGGAGCCAGGGAGCCCCAGCCAGGGCATGCTGCTCTGGGCAACAGGAGAGGGAGCACACGGAAAGGCAGCTCTACCCTCCCCGGAGTCAGCAAGATGTTTGCTCCGGCAGAAGTCTGGAGGCAAAGACAGGGAGCGTGAGACCTGAGTGATGAGGAACAACCAGAGAGGAGGATGATGCTGGGCCACGCTGCAGGGAGCTGGAGCCCCTCAAGACAAGTCTTGAGGCAGATTTTATCACATACTTTTCCAAACAGCTAAAAAAACCAAGGGAGAGGATGCAAAATCATGTCCTTGGCTCTTAGGACCAGGATTCGGCTGGCCATAGGGAGGAAGGGAAGGCAGAGTGCCCTGGGTGTGTTTCCTTATCACAGGATGATTCACTGACGTGAAGCAGATTGGAAAAACACAGACCTGAGCCCTGCATACCAGACCCGGCGTTTGCAACGGCGAGAGCGGAGTCAGCCCCAGCAAACACAGCCCGGGGCAGGACCGCGCTTATGTACCCAGCTCACCAGGGCAAGGACCAAAATCCAGGCGCATAAAAGCCCTTGGGGGCTGCCGCTCCGCTTCCCTTTTTGATACGAGCGTTTGCAGAGCTTGAGCTGCTTTGGGCCAGGAGCAGCCCCGGCCGCGTGTGCGCACGCCTGCTCACACACACGCGTATGAGCAGCGCAGGGCCACGTGTTGCAGGGGTTTCGCAGCCCCAGCCAAAACCCTTCCCAGAGAGGAGGGGACGGGGCTCTGCCGTCCTGCAAAGGGCACCCGTGAACCGCTGACGTGGGAGCGCGGGGGATTGACCGGAGGAG